CCCCCCTCTCGACTCTGTGTCTGTCCCCCCCCCAACCTTGTTTCCCCCCGCGCAGTTCATTCGTCCTCCAGGGACTCGGTCTTGATGTCGTTCGGGGCCCCTCCGGTTCTGGACAGGGCCAGGATGGTGTGGTTGACGGCGGCCATCTCCACGGCCAGAGAGATGGGGTCCTGGTGCTCGCTGTGTGCCGCGCTGTCCTCCTGAGACAGGGAGAGACCAAGGGCCACGGTCAGGAATCAGCATGTGAGCAGTAGCACCCTACCCTACTCTGACTGAGCGGCAGGCCTGTCAAGCTTTGGACTTCTGGGTGTTGACGTGGTGTGTGTGAGGCTGTGGAAAGTAGTGGTAGTGTCTTTTCTCATCCTTTCCAAAAACACAAGAGCAAAAGTGTAAGAAATTCATTAAACAGCTAGTGTAAGCTATAAGCGTTAGCATATATGGCTAACTAGCTGCAGTAGTAGCAGTAGTAGCCCAGTGTCACTGCTGGCTGTAAAGCCCTGTGCTGCTCTTTATTGAATCGGGGAAAGTTAACACGACAGGAACCGCTAAACTTGTAACCTAAAATAGTAAACTCAACGGTAAGTCCTCATCGCAAATGTTAGCAGTAACGTGTACGTCAGCTAAGCAGCCAAACAAGGCTACGCTGCAGAATAACCGTCTGCTCTTCCTCATCATACTCATAGTGCATATGAACTCCTTTTAATACCAGTCAGCTGGTAACATTATGAACCAACTCGTGTTAGCTTTTAAAATCGACCGGTGATAGTTGTCATCAGCTAGCAAAACAGGCTACTAACGTGTGCACCGCTGTCTGAAATCTGAAAACTGTGTCGCAGTGATCGATGTAAAGCCCAACATGTGCAGAGCGAGAGAAGAGAAAGCTTGACAGGTGTAGCAACAGTGAGAAATGGGGGCGAGGCTTAGCACATGTGATCAACAGTTAGCTTAGCTTACCATACAAACTGAAAGTAAGAGAAAAAAAAGATAGCCTGGCTTTATCCAAAAGTGGAAATATCTTTCAACTAGCACCTCAAAAGATCTCTAATCACCACGTTATACGTCCTGGAAAGTATTTTAAAGAAGCCACAGGAAGTCAGTTTGCCCGCCCAAAAAAGCATAACCATCTTTAACACTACAGCTTGTCTTTTTTAAACTTCATTTTTTGGAATGGCTTTGATACGACTAAATATAAAGAGTTAATCAGTGAGCTTTAGAGGTGCTAGGAGGCAGATTCTTTCAAAAAGTTAAATAAAAATGCTTCTGACTAGCTTCACATAAAATGACATAACGACGATCTCCGCTCAAGGATGGCAGTGGGAAAAAAAGTAAATTATTTAGAATATTGCCACTTCAAATGTCTTTGATTCCCTTTGAGGCTGAGTAGATGGATAGATGGATGGAGAGATAGAGAGATGGAGAGATGGATAGATAGATAGAGGTAATATGGTCTGTGACTGTAGAGCTAGAGTTTGTAACAGAGAAAAGGAAAACAGTTCAATGAGAGCTCTTCTGAAAACACAAGTTTTCAAATGATTCCTCATGATCAGGAAAGTATATTGTGACGTTGCATATGCTATGCTAACTCAGCACATCATCGTCTGTATATTCGGAGGATAAAGTACTATGATCATACAAGGTGCTGCGAACCAAAAACAAGGAATCAACATCACAATCATTATTTTGATTGTTTAAATCTAACTGAGGGTGAGCGTTAAAGTGACATGCTGCCTGATTACTGCAATCAGAGAATAAGTGACGGGACCGCTCTCAACCTCTGTGTGAGTGCATTGGGAGTTTCCTTTGCCCTCTCTTTGGACGGTGCATCCTGCGACCACATGCAGCAACGTAATCACTAAAACGCTGCTCCGAACGGTCCGCATGGCAACAAGAATCTAAGCCAGGGTAAGGAGAACCAGATCCTGCTACGCTACAAAGGAACATGCAGCGCGGTGGGTAACATGGTGCAGTGTTTCTGTGTGGATGTACCTGTGTTGGCGAGGTGGGCTCCAGTCGGTAAAGGCCAAAAGGTCGACTGAGAGGTCTCTTGTCAAAATAGGGCAGGTCACATGCCTGGAGGAAATAAAGGGCACCATTTAGCCAAGTAGAATAACAGTAAAAAAAGATTCTGAATGGTCTTCTTTCACACTTCACAGATTAAATGCGCCCTCTGTTCATTACTCATTAGCTTGAACGGTCAACTTTAACTTTGGCTCTTTTTACTCCAGCAGCCGTGACTTGACAGGAGGGTCAGAATGTTGTGCAATCAAGAGTAAAGCTAGAGGTCAGCTGTGGGTTTCTACAATGATACGGAGCGCTGCTACTGTCCATTGCTGCCGCTTAGTTTCCACTGGTGGCAGGAGAGAGCGGCCTTTAATTAATGTGCCTTGAGCAACAGCTTTGGGGAGCAATTCTTCACATTTATCTTTGGGGGTGAAGGGAAACAGCAGTTGAAATGTTCTTGTAATATCTCTGTGTGTGTATTTGTGAAGAGTGATGTGCCAGTGAACACCATAAGCTGCTGATCTCACTTATTACCTTTAACCAAAGAGAGGGGAGCTAATTAGTGAACTCTTAGTGAATACTGAGTCCAAGAACAGAGGAACCCTAGGATGTGGAGGGATGGATGTGATCGGTTGGCAAGAGGCTGCTCCATAAAAACACAAACAAATAAAAACCACAGCACAATAGAGAATGAGAAGGCTGAGGCTTCGATCAGCCCTCTGGTTCACAGTGCCGTCTCCCTACCTGCTCTGAGAAGTCGTTCCCATCGATGTCGTCGCTGTTGGAGTGTCCCCCTGGACTCTGGACGTCTATCCCGTGACTCTCCAGGATTGTGGCTTCTTGGAGGAAGAGGATGGATTGTTAGATTTACGATGGGTCACTGAGAATATCCCTCATTACATCCTAATGGGCAGTGATACTCCAGCAGAGGTGCATGAACTACAATTTGATTTAAAAAGGTTTTTTTAACCTCAGTGGCACTTTGTTAAGTTCACCTTTAAAATCTATTGCACATTGCACATTTGAATTATCACTGCTGATTTTCCTCTGTCAGAAAAAATGAGGAATCATAAAGGTAGACAGTGAACATTGATACCAGGTGGACCTCACAGGTGACATACTGAGTCAGCTGTGACTATTGAACACTGGGATCAATATTTATCGAACAGTAATGGATAAATGGTTGAAAAGTCTAAATTCTGCTACTCTGAACATTTTGTAGGAGAATGACCTGCAAACCTGACCACACCAACCTAAACATTAACATTTAAACCGTGACATTGTAAGATTATCCACTTTTATACAGTTAACAGTGATAAACAATCCATGTGCAGCTTGTCTGACAGGACCGTGGAGGTATGTAAACTAGCACATTAGCACCGGCTTTAGCCAAATGACACTGAATGTCTTCAGTTGTGTCCTTGAGTCCCTCGGCTTGCAGGTTAATGGACGTTCTGTTTTACAAATCTAATCGCCAACTAGGTCAATGCTGGCGGCAAGAGGATTTTGTTTTTGTTCACAGCTGTTATGGGGATGCCAGAAGTCATTAAACATATTAGGTGACCAATCAACAATCATCGAGCTAATTATAGTGATGATATGAATTCATGATGAGCCACAGTGCACAGCGTTGAAAAGTCTTAATTAATGTCTTAATGTGTGGTCCCTCCCCAAAGCCACATTACCGATGTTTGCGCGTCTCTTGATCTCTTTGCGGCGGTTGGCGAACCAGTTGTAAACTTTCAGGGAGGTCACCCTCTCCAGATCAGACAGCTTCTTCCCTGAAACAGATCACATGACACTCCGATCACTCAGTGCATCTTGGATCGCTTTCTCACCATTCACAATAATGCTTTTTCCATTTATTTATTTTTGTTCCAGTCTGTTCCAACCCTGTTTTTTGTTAATCCATCAGATCACAAGGCTGTGTAGGGAAAATCTCCCCGGTAACGTTCAGAATATTTACACTATACAGGAGTATTTGTCACCAGCAAATGAAGCCATTATCAATCACACATGTCAAATCGTTTGCATTTCATTGTTGCGTGGATCCCTGGTTTCGGGGGTTTACCTGGCTTCTGAATGACAGCATTGCAGGCGTTTGCTATCTCCTCCCGCTTGGCCTCATCTGGGTACTGGTTGTCGTTGAAGTAGCTAAAAATAGAAGACTCGCACTGATTAAATTAATTTCACTGCACAAGGACGACGTGGACAAACTGGAGTTGCGTGTGTGGCACAACGGAGCTGATATTAACGCTGTATGACAAGAGTTCAGAAGTCCTCGCAGAGGGCAGCAATGTTTCCTCAACTCCATGTGGAAATAAGCGAGGAGTTAGGAAACAAACTCCCATTCATCATCTTTAATCTACTGCTCTATCTCCCCTTCTCAATTCCCCCGCTCACCTCTCCATCACTGCCAGGCACTCTTTTCTCCAAGTGAAGCGACTTCCGCGACGCAGCCGGAAGGTCCCGGGGGCGGTGGTGATGGGGGGCGGGGTTTGCCTCCACTCCATTTCCTCCAGAGGTAACGGAGCTGGCCGCATGTTTAGAGTGGCACCTGGAAGCAGCAGTACGTTACACATGGAGAGGGTACAGGAGGAGCACCGACTGTGCCGGTTAAAGTCTAAAAACACAATGTAGTAATAACGTGTGTGGCAGCAGACAACAGCCAGAGAGCCCAGAATGCACGGCGCCTTCTGCACATCTCACACATTGTGATGATAAACCCGACTGAATAGTGCTGACAAAGACCGCGCTGACTCGTCTGAAATCACGACTGCAGCAGAGAAGAAAAGCACACAAAAGATTTGCAGTAAAAAAGAAAAAGCCTCATTGAAGGAGCCCCGTAACAGCTGAGATATCTATCGGGCTCGGTATCATAACCTCATTGTGAGCGCGGCCTAACTGGGTCGCCCAGCAACAGTGCGGGTTATTGAGCGCTGCATGAACGGGGCGTCGCTGTTCCTCTGCAGCAGTGATGGAGGCACATCTCCGTCTGGACAGAAATAGCATGGAGCCATTTGCACTGCTGTCGGTGTTGGCAGGGCTCCACCGAGGACGAGGCGTGGGGGGGGGGGGGGGGCTGTAGGTCGACACGGCACACGTGTATGTGCACAGCGGGGAACCGAAGCCAGCGTGAGGCCTGCTGGTTTTCTGCTGTTGACCAATAGCAGTGAAGTTGTGTGAGACGACGCTCATGTGCGTCTTGCCTCCACAAAAACAAAACTACCATTACAGCCACCTGATCGAGACAAGTTCACTTTGGACCTTCTATGTGTTCATTTACAAAACATTTGAAGAAAACCAAATTAATGGAGCAAGATAGACAAATAATACACAAAACAACACAACAGAACAGTAAGGGAAAGAAAAAGAGCTTCCTGTTTCAGCAGCATCATGAAACTCATTTGGTCCGCGATTTCGGCGATTTTGCTCGAAATCGCCGTCGCCATCTTGGATTACGGCCGTCGCCATGTTTTTTTTTTTTTGTATCTGATGAAGGGAAGTTACAATATTTGGAATGCAGAGGAGTGACGTAGAGACTCTGTATACGGCTCTCGTAGCGGCAGTCATCTGTCAATCACAGTAAGCCCCGCCCTAAAGCATTACCTGCTTTATGGTCTGTTTGACTCTAAATGGACCATAATGTACTAAATGAACATCATGCTGTATTGAAGAAGACTTGCAACTAGAGATTGAGACCATAAACTCATGTTCACAATGTTTACTGAGGTAATGAATCAAGAGAGAAGTAGAGTCATTTTCTCATAGACTTCTATACAACCTGAGGAGTCGCCCCCTGATGGTCAGTGGAGATATTTGTTAAGTATTATGACAGTTCCGCATCGGCTTCACTCATCAGAACCAGAGGTTGTCGCCTGGGTGCAACTCACCCTAAAGACTAACACTAAGTTAAAATTCAGCTCCTACAAACTGCTACTGTTACAACATCATCTTCCTTCTGATTCACATCACACTTCAACAAGCTTCCACTTACACATAAGGACTTCACATACTGTACATCTCATCACATCTCACTGTAGCACATAGAGCACAAGACGCCGTCTACTTCTACTTATCTCATTAGGAAAGTGCTGGCAGCAGCGTGTTTTCCTACTGTGCTTCCCTCTCTGCAATCCCCCCCCTGCTGTGATTAGTGAGCCTCTGCTTTCTTAACATCCGACTTTAAAACTCTCCAACTTGGGCTTTAAAGTGTTCAGAGTAACTAAATGAAACTCATTTGTACTACGGCCTTGATGACTACAGTGCATGCCTCTTCATCGCACAGCCCTTCAGCGAGCTGCCCGACCGGGCCGTACCTGGTGTGGTCTTCTCCAGCGTGTACCAGCGGTAGAAGGCCCTCTTCTTCTGCTCGCTCAGGTCGGAGCCGTGCTGCAGCAGCCAATGGGAGATCCTGCTCTGGCTGATGCCTGCAAAGACATCCAATCACAACTGAGTGTTTTGTGTCCGGCCCCGGCACAATTTGTAAACGACCGTTGGGAGAATTCAAGACAGACAAACTAGAGGCGGGGGGGTTTCTCTCTATTTAGCTCATGAATGCATTTCTTCTCCCATCGCTCACACAGGCCGTAGCCACTAATGCTGCTGGGCACTTAAACCTGACCTCTGATTTACACGCAAAGACCCAGCTGTAATGTCACAAACCCCTGCTAGCTGCCATGTGTTGAACTGAGATTCAAGGTAAACTCCTAAACCGTAAGTGCACATATTATTAGCTGTTGACATCTTCTCACTTTTCTGTAAAAGAAGCCGCCCTATCTCATCTTCTTTGTATTGCTTAGCATGTAAAACAGTATGTTTGTAACGGACAGCAGGGTGTCGGAGTGTGTCGGTACTAACCGGTAACTTGTGCCACCACGGCCTGAGAGATCCTCCTGTTCCCCAGGAACGCCTTGATCTCCTCTTTCACCAAGCTGCTGTCCCTCCTGCAGACACACAAACAGCAACAGCACTTAGCACAGTGCCGGCGGCCACATCTGAAGAGCCGGGCTGGGACTATGCATAGGGAGACATCCAACAGCATGTGAACGCACAAGGTGAGGGGACACATAACCAACAGACATCTAAAAGTCATGTAGTGCAGATTAGATGTCCCGACAGCTTCTTTATGGCCAGAAATGCACCTTTTATTTTCTCACTATTAACATGCATTCACACACAACCAGCTGTGCTGCATCATTTACATCAAATCTCACCATGTTTATCGATATTAATATGATATTGTAGGGTTGACTGTTAGGGATGCACTGATACTGACTCAAATGGCTGGATGGGGTATAGTGACAATGGGGCTGATCTATTCAATTCAGTTCTATGTTTAAATACCATCTACATTATATACTAGAATTTTAATTATACAGTTGAATTGTATGCTATGTATTTATTTGTCTCACTTTGTTTTAAAAGGTTATGAAAGTAATGTTTGAATCCAGCCTGACCTGCCGTTGCCTTCCACATAAAAGAATGGTCCCAGTCTCATCCACACGGTGAGGATACAGCTTATTACACACTGGTATCAGGTCGGTACTCGGTATCGAGTCAGATGGGTGTATCCCTAGTTGTTGCTTTCACTAAATATTTACACAATGAGATTTTTGATAGGAAATGACAGCACTTATGCCATATTACGATATTATGTAATCCAAAATCCAGGGCTGTCCACGACCAAAGACCAAAGACATTCTTAGTTGACCAGCATTCGTTTTGGCAACTAATTGATTAAATTAACAGATTATGTAAAACTCTTCACAAAGTATCACACCACTTTAAAGGTTTACCAGAGAATAAAGTTTCTGAGAAAACAAGTAAAAAGTTGACTGATCGACTCAGAGGGGACATCCCACCAAACCCTAAGACCGTATCCAGTCTCCCATCACAACATGGATCCGCTACAGTTCTATTACCAAGCACTAGTTTGGTATATTGTACAATAACAATAACTGAGTCACATGTCAGATAATTCTACCCATTCATAGGAACACTACAAAAACCAATGAGTCCATCATAATCTACGCTGCATTTTGACAGCATTATCCGTCTATTGTTCTTTTCTTTCATGTCTTCATCACATAATCAACGCAGCATACAGAGGAGAACAAAAGGGATGAACTTTTATTGAATTGAGCCACAATTTAAAAAATGTACTTGGCGGACACGTTCCCACCGCCTTAGTCCTCGGATGGTGAAACAGAAACATGCAGGGACCTGCAGGAATGGAAGGTGGTGAGTGAACATGTGCAGTCACACTGTGTACCCACCCTGCTTTCTGGCTGGGAGCCCGATCCCCTCCCTGATGCATACACAGGGACACGCACACAGCCGCACACAGCCGCACACAGCCGCACACAGCCGCACACAGCCGCACACAGCCGCACACAGCCGCACACAGCCGCACACAGCCGCACAGGGCTGCCTCGGCTTAATGCCCCATCCTGGTGCACACTGTGAACACCAGTCACATGGGTAGAACCGCGTTTATCCATTTCAACAATGCTGCATACTTTTACCGGAAGGCCTCTCGAGTGGGCACCTACCCCCCCCACCCCCGCCCAACTTTTAACAGCACTGGTGCTCAAACCCTACCATCACTTTGAACCCGGTCGGTATCCCAGATTCACACGGTCGAAAATGGAGAGCGCCCGAGTGCTCCGCTGGTGTATTTCTGAAAGGAGAAGGTGTCACGAGTCCTTGACATCCTGCATCAATATCCTCCACACCAGCCTCTTGCGGCGCAGCTAAAATTAGAGCTCAAAAAACGCTGCTTGTATCGACACCCGCTGAATCAATGGAGCACAAGCTGCTGGACGAGACTGAGGAGGAGGAGGAGTGGGAAGTGGAGGAAGGGGGTTGTGTGTGTTGTTGGAGGCCAACTCAAAAGGCCAAACCCTTGCAGAGACACTTAAAAGAGAGACAAAATCAGAAGGACACCGTGGGACGGTTGACCCAAACCGTGTGTCCCGCCCCTGCAGCCCCGCTGGGCCAGAGCGTCCTACAGGCGGAGGGGATGAGGGCTTTTTGACTGCCACTTCACTTCAGACATGTGGTTCGATGCAGAGGCAGCGAGAATGAGCGACTGGGAGCGCTAGCACAGCGATGAGGACAGAGGCTGAGCTCCGAGTGTCTATTCTTATTCCCACTGTTCAGGCAGGGCAGCTGGGAGGCAGTAGGAGGGCTGAGCGGAAGAGAGAGCGATAGATTATCATCACTGACACGTCACAATAATGGCTATAAAAGAACATGTAATACATAACTCATCTTTTCTTCAATTTAGAAACCATAGTGAATATAAGAAGTGGACGTATTCACTGTGACGTAATCCGTCGGTTGGTGGACTACGGCTTTGAAGCCTCGGGATGGCGTTATGGCCATCACCATCTTTGGTTTTTGAACGTCACCATCTTGGTTTTTTTCCAACCATAAGTGACACAAACAGCGGAGCGGAGTCCAACCGAACACTGACATTTTTAGGCGACCAAAATGTTACAATTATCTCTCACTGTCTGAAAACACACTGTGAAAGGGTTTCTAAGACGAAAACAGGGACAACTCTCAGACCGGACAACGCTGTGTTAGCAACCTGTCAATCACAAGGTAGCCCCGCCCTAAAGCATCCCCTGCTTTATGGTCTATTTGACTCTAAATGAACATCATGTTGTATTGAAGAAGACTTGAAACTAGAGATTGAGACCATAAACTCATGTTTACAATGTTTACTGAGATAATAAATCAAGAGAGAAGTAGAGTCATTTTCTCATAGACTTCTATACAACCAGAGGAGCCGCCCCCTGATGGACACTAGAGAGAATGCAGCTTTAAGACACTTCAGCATGGCTTCACTTTTCAGACCCGGAGGCTGCCTCCTGTTTGGAACGTGAGTTTCCCTCAAACCTCATATTATTTGATGTTACTTCTGTGATTCCATGTAATGATCTGGAGGTGCACGATTGTAAAAACTTCTCTTCTTTCCTTCTCACAAAAAGTCCTCTTGAACCCCTGAAGGCTTTTCCCAACGTTTGCAAGAGAATACTTGAGAATATTATGCATGATCTCAACAAGAACGCCTTTCATGCCCGTCTCTGTTATTTTGATACCCGTCACAGGACGTACATCTTTGTGTAGCACACGCTGTACAAGACAAATGTAGTACTCCTCAGGACTGCCATGTGATAAGGCACTCTGGAAATAAAATGTCTGTGCAGAGTGCAGACACTTCACCTTTTCTGTTTCTCCTTTATTCGTTGGCACTATTAGTTGCCATGTGCAATTCCCCCCTGGTTCATAAACACAGAAGTGAACGGTAGTAAATGCTCCATTCTGCTTCTGTTGTGGGGCTTACTGCAGGCGCTCAGCAGATCTAGAAGGTCTCACAGCTCCACGCTCCTCAGTAATGTACCTGAACCACCAGGGCTACATGGAGCCCCCCAACAACTGGGACTGCTCAGCTTTGGTCATCTAGTCAGGACACTACCAGTGCACACCTACTCCCACGTCGTTATCTACAGTACAAGCACTGCAGCACACCTTAAAGGTAACCTCTCTGCCCCGTGTCCCAGCCTCATTTGCATCAGAGCAACCAAACTCATTTAATGATGGCTTGGAATGCATCAATTATCAGTTAATTTCATTACATGACCTCGCTCCCATAATCACAGACTGGATAAAAAGCTGAAACGTCCACTCCCAATAATGAAAACTAATGTAACCTCAAAAAGGTTCAAACAGACAAATGCACTTACTCTACCTTCATAGATTAACCAACCACGGGCTCGCTGCTCTGTTAACAGTCTTTTCTTACTCAAAAGCTCCAGCACAGCTACAAAACGTTTCCAAAGTCAAGAATGAACTCTGAACCTCAGCGTTAACGCCGAAGCGAACCGAACCAAAAAGACATTTCAACACAAAAAATGAAGATCATGTGATCTGATCAAAAGCTCAGGAACTAAATTAAATTGGTGGTGAGATTGTTCTCTCAACTTCTGTTTCCAAAGTCAGGAATGAACTCTGAACCTCAGACTTTTTAAAAACGTGTACGATACCATAAACTTATTTGTCCCTACGAGGAGATTTGTCTTGACCTGGACCGCTGCACACATGATACGACGTATAGCTGCCTCCATAGCAGCAATAACAAAGAAACAATAAGCCCATCACACACACACAGTCCTACAGCGGCTGCACACAGTGGAGCTTTAGTGGAGCTTCCAGTTGGTCCTGTGTAGTTAACCCTAAACTGTGCTTCCTTGTCTTATCGTTACAGGTATTACCGCCAATAAAGACGATCGCACCGACTCCCGACACCGCAAAAAAAATCTATGAGGAAAGAAGGATAATACAATATAATAAGGTTTGCACCTATAGTGCTTTCTTGTGTGCTTTAAACACAAGAACATTTTGTGAAGTTTGTTCATTCATTCATCCGCTGTTCATTTCATACAGCAAGAACAGTATACTGAGATCTCGCTGCAGTGAAAGAAACCTTTCAAATCACCAAGAGACGACACGTTTTAGCTTTGTCGCTGTACTTACAGTAGATCCACAAACTCGGACGATGATGTGTCTTTTAAAGTTGGACTAACTTATGTTACTTATGTCCAACTTAATACATGAATACTAAAAAACTTTCCCAAATAAAGTTTTGGAGCTCACTTCACCTCCATCACCACTGACCTCATCAGCTCCTCCACCTTGTCGTCAATATCCAGGTCCTCCTCTGTCGCTTCAAACCCGAATGCTCGCGCTGCCGCCGCGCTGTTCACCGGGTATCTGGGCGGAGACAGCTTACCGTTGGGCGTGGCAGCCAGGCTGTCCCGGCCGTTCTGCGACAGAGCCACCAGTGAGACCGGTGAGGGCAGGACGGCGGACGGCGGCGGAGGGCCCGGAGGCGGGGATGTGTCGTAGCTGTTGCTAGGGGACGGCGAGAGCCCACCTCCGCTGCCAAACTGCGTCTGTGTGGCGGTGGAGATTTTGGATGAGGAGGAGGAGGTGGCTGCCGCCGAGTGATCGCCGGCGACGCCCTCACCTCCGTTGCACGTCACGGAGGAGGAGGTGGTGGTGGGCGCCGAGGCAGTGTTGCTGTTGTTGGCATTCGAAGCGGAGTTGTTGGCGCAGCCGTTTGCCCCGCCTACTCCGTAGCAGGACGAGGAGGAGGAGGAAGAAGAGGTGCGGCGGCCGAACTTGTCGCCGTGCTCCCGGTCCAGCCGGTCCAGAGTGTCGAGCGCGTGCAGGATCTCCTGCTTGCTCATGCCGCTGCGACGCAGCCGCTGCAGCAGATCTATCTGCTCGATGGTGAAGCGCGGCTCCTCGCTGAACTCAGACATCCTGCTGCTGGATGAGAGACAAGACAGACAGGTTGTGAGACAGGGGAGACAGAGGGGGGGGGGGGGGGAAGACAGGCAATGCAGAGGGAAGTTAAGGAAGTTAAAGATGAAGAGAAATAGAGATGGAGAAAAGGAGGAAAGTCAAACAGAAATGAGACAGCTGAAGGGATGGCAGAGGATTAAGTAGGAAAAGAGTGAAAAAGGAACGCAGTTGCAGAGAAATGAGAAGGATGGGAAGAGGAGGAGGGAGGCAGAGAGCGGTAGCGAAGGAGAGTCAGATGGGGTGAAGTAAAAAGAGAGGGGTGGTGAAAACTGCTAGAAGAAAATAAAGAGGCAGCAAATAAGTAAAGGAAGACAGGAGCAAGAGATAAGAGTTTAAAAGAAAGAAAGAGGGAGGGGAGGGGCTGGGCATAAAAATCTGCTATTTTTGGGAACCAGCCGGCAACGCGCGCAGAGTCACCTTGACAGCTGATGCTATCTTAACATTCTGAATGCCGTTCTTTAAGAGCTACAACATATCCCCGGCTCGGCGCGCCACCCACGCTTTGTGTTTTTCATAAGCAATTTGCAGTGCTCAAAATCAATGCGACTGGAATCAAGACTGCGGCAGATTTTTTTCCATCTTCTTTGCCAGCCCCGACCTGTGCTGATATGATAAACGGTTTAAAAGGGGTCACGGGCATTTTTTTCTTCTTCTCTACATCTGTGCGAGTCCAAGCTGTGCAGAGGACAGGAACAACCAAAAATTACTTGATTATGTCTGCAGTGTTTTGAAGTTATTGTGAAGGGAGCTAATATGACCATGGTGAATAGAATAAGCCTTTAAAAAAAGGTCTGTAACCCCGAGCTTTGAAAAGGAAAAGAACAATCGGCAACATTTCAGACTCGCACAGGGGGAAAGTCACTTTGAGTGGGCACTGAAATACATGACTTCTGTACCACAGGGTGGCTGAGCAGCACCGGAGAACATTAACTAGTTTCTTGAGTGGTTCATAGGCAGGCTATTAATGCCGTAAATCATTGCAAAACCTGTCACATCCCGGGGGTGAGACAACTGTCACACTGGTTACTTTAGCCGGAGCATGCAAGTGTATGTACTGACTGATACAGAGCTGCAAGTGTTGCAAGCAAAACTGAGCATTTGAAATCAGTAGCCATCCAGGGTCAAGTATTTACAAAAGTTAACTATTCCATTTAGAGGGTTTAAGTGGTTGACACACACACACGCACACACACACACACACACACACACAGAGGAACACAGATCCAGCCTGTGCTGCTTCACTGTAGGTCACAAAACACACCGGTGATGAGTTTATTATGAGTGACCCTACTTCTACTCTAATCAGAAGACAAGAGCCACTGAGGAGGGCCTGTCTTTGACAGATGGTACACCAACACATCCCTGACGGATTTGATCATCAACGTGATAACAGTGCAAACTAGATCTAGAACTCTTCAAAGCTCACACCAGAAAAAATAAATCATACATAACGACAGCCGCCAAACACGTAGGGTTTTGCATCATGCAAAAAAAAGAAAGAAATAAAGAAGCTTTCTTACCTAAATACAGGGCGCGTGCATGATGTATCAGATACTCCCAGTGTAAAGCTAACTCGTTTCCTAAATTGTCCCAACATTGACCACAGCTCATGGCACCTCTCCCCCGTCCATGTGTGTTTGTTTTGCTGAGGACCGTGGGCCCCGCGAGGAGAGCGCGAATCCGTCGCTCGTCTCGACGCTGCGGGAGAGCCACCGGCTGATGCTTTCACGCCCTTTGCCCAAAAGCTAGCGTTAGCAGGCGTGTCTGTGACGGACGGGCAGTGCCCTGCGTAACGTTACATTAGCCAGCTCGCAACCCTCTAAAAACCCAGAATGATTCCCGTCATTGCCAGCGCTGAGTGTATACCGACGACACCGGGCATCACAGAGGACGGCTGGAAACGTAACATATGCTATGTCGCTAGCGCTCGCGCTGTGGAACGATTAGCATAACATGCTAGCCGTGCCAACGCTGATACTAGCTGATGTTAGCCGCCGCCGCTGGCTAGCGGGCGTTTGATATTAATAACATCACTTTCACTGTTGTATTTCTCTAAGTACACGACTTACCTCGGTTCAAATCGTCCACTTAACCATTTAACCTTGGCAACTTGAGCAAAGACCCGCGGCGTCTTTTACTGCGGCCGACCAATAACGCAATATGACTACAGTGCCCTGTCCGACCCCTTTCCAAGGATTTCTAATCAGAAGCGAATTATTTGCCTCTCTGCTTTGTCTGTCTGACAACAGCCATATTGACAACCAACACCTCCGAGTAGCTACGAGGGAACTGTAGTTTTACTCTCACGGAGGGTCTCTACCACGCGCCGGCGTTCTTTACACTAAAAACTACAAGTCCCCGAAACAAGGGCGAGACGGGAGCTGATGGCTCACTGATCTACAGTTGTCACAAAGGGCGATGCAGTTTTTAATGCGACCACAGCGGCGGCTGCTCCCCCTCTGCCACCGCTGCTGCTGCCGCTGGCGCTGCTGGGGGGTGAACTGGGAACGCTATCCGGCTCAAGGGCCACTTGTACCGCCCGGGGAGCACCTCAGCAGCCCCCTACACCGCCAGACCGCTGAGGTTTGAAAAGTTGTTCAGGCGTTTTCACAGATATGTAATTGTAGTTTGGAAACAGATTCGTTGTTGATTTTAAATCCAGGAGAAGGCCGTTGTATTTCTTGTAAATGGAAAATGTTGGGATACTCATTAAATTGGTGGTGTTCGTCATGGGCCCCTAAAGTGACACAAACTAGACCAGTGTCCCCCATGTGTATGAAACCAATGACCAAAATAGTCATACATGCTGTCATTATGTTACTTATGGAATTATAGTAATAATATATGATTCCCCTTGTTTCTAGGGGCCCCCTTGCACCCCCCTAAGGACCCCACTTTGAAAACCATTGCAGTAACCACCACCAGGATCAGGACTAGGAGAACATCTGAAAACACACTATAAGGAGACATCCCATGATGACCCAGACTCTCCAAGAAGGCTGCCTCAGTAGACAAAAAAATAATTGTACAATCCAACAATTATGTACTGTTTGTGAATGTAAGAAACAGAAAATGGAGCAATCATAGCATCATCTATATAAGCAGAGCCGCCTAAGTTGTATTTACATGACTGGGCTAAGTTACAAAACTTGCAAACGTATAGAGACCTATTTACATATTTTTAGTGCTTAATATGTTTCAGAAGGGGTCGATCTGTTCGCTCAGCTGGTTCAGGAGGAAGACGGTCGGCAATGAGAAGAAATTAAAGCAGCTCTGGAGGGGGAAATGGATCCAGGTGGCCAACTTTGCATGCGCATCATTTAGACTGAAGCCCGTTTAAGTTAACCATTCATATTTTTGCTGTGCTATTTCTGCTTCATGTCAGCCGGCACCTGCTTTGCCCCTGCTCAGCTGTTATACTCCTCATATCAGTCTCTGTACACTCCAGAAATGCAGGCACAAGATGTCATTATAAGTTTTAAGGGAAGACACTACAGGCAAAAAAAGTGTTTTTCATGCACCGGTCAATTTATAGATTTTGGGCTATTTTGCTTCATTAACATGCCCTCTTTCAGACTAGTGGAAAAAAACATATATTTTACTAAGTTGTCTATTTGCGTCTTTAGATTTCTCCTAACTTCACCAAAAGTTACCATTAGGTAACTTAAAAAGTTACCATTAGATAAATGTCTTAATGTCTGTAATCATGGTGTCGTTTCATGGTGATATCTATTAGTTACATCTTTAAAAGTTAGAAATCTCCACTTCAGCAGCACTCACATACACCAAACTGCACTTTCATTCCATCTATATTCTGAAGATTTTTACAGAGGGGTTTGTTAGTATATCATTCATTTATACGACATATTATTACTAAAAACATGGAGAAAATTGATGGTATTTTTTAGGCAGCATTCTCTAAGTTATGGATTGATACAAAGAGATATTCAAAATTCTCTCTGTAAAAACATTTGACTCTAAAATATCAACAAGATAACAAAATAATTTTGAACCAGGCTTTGCAGTGTTCACATTTCTGTGCTGGAAATACAGCAGTATTAGCACACATGTAATAAGATAATGCTCCATTTGCATATTTAAACATAACATATCAGAAAACTAGTGATACAAAAAAATAATTGTCATAATTTATGTAATTAACCATGGAAGTTTCATTGCGACACCTATCAGTGAAAACGTTGACCCTGTTCACCTTAACCAAAGAAAGGGCTCAAATCAATGCTTGCTTTGATAGTGATGGTCAGAGGTAAGAGGGAGAAGGACGCGCTCAGTGTCAGGTAAAACCGTGGTACTTGTCTAATGCACAGTTTGATGCAGAGGTCACACTGTGGAAACCCCGAGCAGGGCAGAGCGAACGGTAAGTGCTCCGCTCTCCTTGAACACTCAACGTGCTTTTGAACGAGCCGGTTCGACCTCATCCACCTCAGTGGAGGTGTGAAACATTTGTACTGCACAAGAGACTATGATGAATAGTGCTGCTGTGAGAGCAGATGTCCTAACAGTCATGAATAATGCATAATGGACTCATCATATAAGGTGCTCGTATTTACAGACGGCTATATGAGACACACTGTATAGCTTCCACGGAGCAACACACATTTTGTAAATGAGTGCTGCAGAATCTGTGCCGTTCACAGAGAGGTAGTCACACTGCCCCCATGTGACAACTATTGTCCAAAAAGAAATCTTACAGAAGAGTTGGTTTGTACTTGACATTGTGTGTTGTTTGGGGAAGGTTGTCTCTGAGGGACTGAACCGATAGATACACAATCAGGTTACCTTTTATTTCTAACAGCTGAATCAGTGCACAAACACTATCTTCAGTATGAGAAGGAAAACATGCCATAACATTTGTTGTGATTGGTCTAAAGTCTGCAAATCTGGTGCGGACATTTTTAGATCACCTTTTTTTTAATAGTCAAAGCCAGTTTTTTTGAAAAATTTGAGAAAATGCTAACATTGTGTTTATCAAATATCAAACAATTTTTTTACATGACATTGGTGTGCATATATTTGATATTCAACTTGTAATGAGTTCATAGATACAACTTGATTGCGTTTCTTCTAGTTTCTGACATACGGCTATTTTCTTATCACATTTAGTCTTTGGGCATATACGTTTTTTTTCCTAAAATTAATGGAGTGTATGGCAAACAAACAGTATTCCTATATGTGTCCAAAGACTAGATATAGTAAGAAAAACTAACTTTTGATCAAAAAATTGTTCAGAATTGCTCTTAGACTCTTAGACAGTCCAGACAACACTTAAGGAAATCAAAAATGTCAGTTGCGTGCATGAATGGGTTAACCAGTGTAGATATGTGGCAGACATCAGGTCAAATTGTTTTTAAAGCCTTGAAGTACAGTGTAACAAAACGTTTTACACATACACATTAAAAGTTGAATTAGTACCCTTTCTGTCACATTTGTGAAACTCACAACTTAATTTATATCACACAACTAGGTAAGTACTGAGTTTTTTTTTCAAAATGATCACTTTGTGCTTTTTATTCTTTATTCAGAGAACCACCACTGTAGTATGATAATAATATATCATTGCTATGTTTTCTTGTTGGAGCATAATATCTCATTTAACATCAAATTCTAACTGAACAATTCATAATTTCCAGTTATTTGAGTTAAGAGTCCTGCTAGTGGGTATATAAAGTCATTTATTTTTGTCTGAAGGGAAAACAACAACACATTTATAAATGTCAAGGTATTGCTCAGCACTGATGCTAGAAAACAAAACTAGGTTATAAGAGCCATGATTTAAAAACGTAACAATGTGTCCAGGTTGAGTATTACAAATACACATCAAACATCATTTAGCTGGACTTTTTATATGTGCTCATGTGTATCACATGTAGGCTGCTGCACGAATGCTTTATGAAGGGGGTCATGTTCTTATTGTATCACTCTTACTTATCTTTTTTCATTGGGCATTATAATTCCCTGTATTATATACTTTCAAATATCTTCTCTTTTATTAGTTCAGTAAAACTATTACCATCCAGGACGATGATCTCAATGATAATGTAATCATTCTGCTGTGGAACACAATCTGAACAAGGCATCAGTTGTTGGAGCAAATCTAATTATGTTTTAAGCCAAAGCAGGGAGCAGGCAGTGAGAGGTATGAGTTTAGCTTGATGCACTGTCATGTAATGCGCTTTTAACACCGGAGGAAAACAACAACCATCTCAATGGCTTGTCATTTCTGAGAGTCGTACCTTTGCCAGTTGTATACTTTTTAAGTTATTCTTGGCTTCCATCTATTCCATTTTTAAAAATATATATATTTATAAATGTATTTATTTAATAAAAAACAATTGGAAAATACCCTACAACATAAACTTGCAAACAAAGTTACATTTAAAGTGTCTAATTAATTTGTTATGACCGATGTGCGCTGTATTTTCACATAACCATGAATGTATCCCTTTGTTCTTATTTGTACTGATTTATACAGACCCCTTAAAAGAACAATGTATGAGAAGGATAGACTGACAATACAATTAGGGAAAAACTACTAGAAGAATATAAAAGGAGACTACATAGACTTTTAGGACGTAAGAAGCTAGGGCACATTGTTTCCTCCCAGTGCCCTTCGAAGTTCCCTACATTTTCCCAGAAACCCTCCAAATGGCTTTCGTGTGCAAAGAAGAACTCAGTGCGCAGCTGCCCACCCAACATGGTTTGATGCTTGGATAGTGGATTCATCAGCATCCGGCAAAAGAATAAACTCAAGTGGGGGACCAGGACAACTTTTCCTCATCGCCTGGTTCCGCTCGGCGCGTGTTCTGCTCTCGTGCCCGGCGGGTGCCCGTGTGAGTATGCGGCCTGGCTGTTGAACGAACCCACAGAGAAACCGCTGTTGTTTAGCCAGCTGTTTTGGTCAGCGAGGTTAGCTGGCAGTGGCTAGTGGCGTCAGTCGGCTAACGCAAACTTAAGCTAGCTAGCTCGGTATGAGCGCATACAGTCTGCGGGTGAGAGCAAACGGCCGCGCTGTATTGTTATGGGTCGTTAAAACGAAGCTTAATGTCCAGAGTTTGGAGCCCTCGGTGAAGATGAATCGGCGCCTGAATGTTGTTTTTAGTTCACGTAGCGGAGCTTTGGTAACGGTTATTAAAGGTTAACGCTAGCTCGGGTGATAGGGTCTACTGTGATTTGACATCACGTTAAAGGCCGAAGCTGTAATGATAACGTCACCTGGAGTGACACGAGAACAGGTCACAGCCTCGAGCTAACGTTCACAACTCAGAAGCAACACTTACAATTCAGTGACAATGAGAGCGCGTGGCCTGTTTTAGCTGTTGCTTCGTGAACGAGTGCGAATAAAAAGCACATTTAACGTTAACGCAAAGTGCATTTAAACATTTAAGTGAGTGTATCGTCAGTTCGCCGAAACATGTTCTGAAACAGCATGTTGTGGAAAAATACATGTGCTCTCTGTGGGTTCGCTGGTGTTGTTGCAGAGCTCCATGTCGGCTCACTGGAAACAGAGAGTGGTCCAGCTCGCTGCTGTTGATGCTTTTTTGGCTCCTCTCATTTACTTGAACACCTGCTTGTGTTCGATGGGACGTCCAGTCAGTGTCTGATGGGCCTTTGTATTTTACACATATAGCTAAATGAAACCCATAGTCTATAATTCCGCTTTCCTTATGTCCTCTCCATCTCTGAACACAGAACATAGCTGCCTTCACATCCTGCTCTCCTCTTTTGTCCAATACCTGAAGTCTACATGAATCTTAACTCTTATTTTCATATGTGTTTATGTAAGGAACATGAGGCTTAAACATTACTTTTCTAACTTTGTAAAACTAAATGTAACAAATAAGATACACAGTTATAAATGTATTACATTACTTATTATTAAAGTAATGAATCACACCAGCAACTAAAAAAGAAAAGTATATAATGTACATAGTATAAACATATTAGATAGAATTTGATAGATATCTGTATCGGTGCCGCCCTATTTCTAAGTTTCCATTAGATCCGGAGAACAACATTAAGGTTCTCCAAGGCTGCTGGAGGGGTCACGTTGCAAAACATTGAGTCTTTGTGTGTTGTCTCAGTCAACCCACATTATAATGTTTGCTTTTAATCGGCTTTATAGAGACAAGTGGACGCGTACCTATATAGTAACAGCCACAATCCAGCAACTCACAGAGAGAGGGGGACACTTTGGCTTAAGCGTTTCTTCATCAGCATCATAATTAGGAGTAGGACGGATCACAAAAGTCCCGGTTCGGGTTGTATCACGCTTTTGAGTCCCGGATCGGATCAGTAGGAAAAAACTAACTTTTAGAGATGTACAAATGTTTTTTTGCCGCAGTTACGATTGAGCCATATCCGCCGATACAGATTGTTATTGTTTTGTTATAGCAAATTGTTTTTCTACCAGCGTGAAGTCAGTGTGAACCATCAACAATTCTAAAAGTTATCCTTTTACTTTGTTATAGTCATCTACACTAGTTATTTGCACAACAACTCTCATTTAAATGATTAGGAAACAAAAGATTGTATTTTATTTCACTAACTGCAATGGACCAACTGCACAACACAGGGTCGTAACATTGCAACATGACATCAAAAGCAGAATAGATCCAGTGTGAGAGAAGCCTCCTTTAGATCTACATCGTAGTATATCTGCCTCTCATTTGGACTTTGTAAGACAGCCTTACCTTCTACAACAGGACATCAGTAAGATCATATATTACATTTAACAGAGAGTTGGACCGGTGAGGGTAATGTGTGCTCCTGTTTCTCACTCGCGTTCCTTAATAAAGACGCTCGTGTGACGTCCAGACAACGGGGCTCACTAAGGATTAGTTTCATTGTTGACTAATCTGTCGATCACTTTCTAGATTAATCGGTTAGTTGTTGGATCTATATCTTTGTTGTCCACAACTTAAAGATATTGAGTTTACTGTCATAGAGGAGTAAAGAACGTAGAGAACTAGTCACATTTACCAATCTGGAATAAGAGGATGTTGTTTTTAAAGGGACTCTTAAACCAGACACATGTAATCAGTGCAAGCGACTTGATGTACTGTGTAAAGTGTGGCATTTCATACGGGCCTATCCATAATGTTTTATTGTGAAATGTTTTGTGTGTTTTCTAGATTGAGGGGGGAAAAAAAACCCACCTGTGATAAAAGTCTGTTTCTGTTGATGTGCTCTAGTTTTAGGGAAACTTTGCTCTGCGTTTTCTAAGTGATCGGTGCTTTTCTCTTCTCAGAGTTTGTCGGAGGCGGCCAGGTCAGCGCAGCGCTGTCAGGAGCACAGAGCTCAGCCAATCAGCTCACAGTGAGTACCTGTTCACTCAACATCTGTCCAACCCACACCACGATCTGAAACGCAGCACACACACACACACACACACACACCCTCACGCAATTACACGTCACTGATTCAGTGTTAGAATAGCAAACATCAGCAAAATGCTGTATGCATTTGTCAGTGTGTGTACACTTTAATATACTTCAATTGTGCTGCTGAATATATATATATTTCCCATCATCCCATGCGTCTGCGCCCTCCTCCCTGAAGCCCCTCTCTCTCTCTTTCCATGTACGATTCAGAAAAAAGCCACTAGGGGGAAGTCTTAAGCTTACTAACCCAACATCAGCCCAGTGGTCCACTCTGAGCAGGAGGACATCCGGGTGGGATTTCATTTTTAGTGTGTGGACTCATCAACACAGTCTCTCTAGAGCAGGGGTGGCCAACCAGTCAGAGACTAAGAGCCACATTTTTTACTGTGTTACCGCAAAGAGCCACATCATACACATGGGCACACATGAACATCACCCCATCCCTTCCTCTCTCTCACACACACACACACACACACACACACACACACACACAGACCTCTGCTCAGCCAGATTTATTGTAAATGTCACACACCAACATGATAATGACAGAAATTGACTCCTACAGTACTAAGACCACAGGCCAGTCATTTTCAACAATGAACATTGTGTGCACAGTCTCACACACACAAACTCTCAGTTCAACCAAGTCCACAAACAAAAATATAATAATTTACAACAGCGTTTTTCTTTTACGATGCATGTTGCTTAGTGGGACTTCTGGCATTCCTTGCCTTGAACAATTCTCTTCAAATCTGGCTTGTATTCCGTTGTTGCCACTCGAAGCAATTCTTTCACATGGGTGTCAGTCAGATCAGATCGATGCTTTGATTTCACATGTTTCAGTTTAGAAAACACAGACTCGCAGACGTATGTTGACCCAAACATTGACAGTATCTTAAGCGCAGCCCGTTTGACATTGGGTTATTTTTCCATTGGCACACTTTTCCAGAACTCAATGGTCCCTTCCCTTAAAGCAGGTTTCAGTTGGTCCTCCTCACAAAGATCGATCATCTCCAACTCAGCCGCAGCCTCATCTGTGACTAGCGGGGCTTTCAAACAGTCCGTCTCCGCATTAAATGGGTCGACGAGGAACGTAATCTGTGGCCTTTTCAGTTGTAGATCACGGAACCGGGTCACAAAGCTTTCGTGCAGGTTTTCAACCAGTGTTGCATATCTGGCTCTTTGCTTATTCAGGGCGGCGCTGGTGACCTGCCCGCTGGCTTTTAGCAGAGTGGGAAAATGCATTAAATCTCCCTTTTGAATATGCGCCTTGAACAGCTTCAGTTTGTTGACAAACGCAAACACACTTTGCACCAGGTCAGGCAGCATTTTTAACTTACCCTGCAGGGTCAGGTTCAGTCTGTCCAAGTGACACAGCATGTCGACCAAAAAGGCCAGATCCATAATCCACCCGAGGTCTGAGAGATCGGGATAGTCCTTGTCCTTCTCTTCCATGAACAGTTTCACGGCATCCAAAAGCTCAAAGAAGCGAGAGAGTACCTGGCCATTACATTCAACAAAAAAATATAAACTCTCACACTCTGTTAAAAACGTCCTGTGTTCATCTTCATATTTTCGTTTTGCTGTGCATTTTTTCCCTGCCATTTTGAGAGCGAACTTGACACAAATTGTTTACTCAAATGATCTTGCCCCTAATGGGAAACTTTGCGGTATTTTCATCTCACGCACATGCGCGTTTGACGAAAATACCGTATTGAACTCAAGCGAATCGAACGCGCACATTAAAAAAAAACACAAACACAAACTTCGATATGAACGTAAGAGCCGCATGAAACCAGGCAAAGAGCCACATGCGGCTTGGGAGCCGCGGGTTGGCCAGGCCTGCTCTAGAGGGTAGAGGCAAAATGTCATGTGAATGCAGTTTTACGTAGTTATTTAGATTCTTAAATGATGTCAGGATGCCCACATAATCTATATGAAACAACCAGTCTTGTGTTCTCATTTAATGAAGAACTTTTAGTGAGAAATAATTACTACGTGCTTTTTATTATCAATTTAGAGGACATAATAGTGAATCTCGATGTATGATTTCATCACAACACGATTCCATTGAAAGAATTTAGGTTATCCTATTATTGTTAAGCCCTATCTCCATACTGTGACCGCAGTGAAGAAGAACTGTAGCTAGAACAGACATAATAACATCCACTGTGAGGTATGTAGAGCCACTGTGGCTGTTACACAGCACCCTGTCTCCACCGTTAAACACTGAGGACTGATGAAGCTCTGTTATGTGGCGCATGAATTCAGTACTAACGGGTGATATTTAGTGGCAGAAAGCTCTTGTTGAACACAAGTCTTTTCCAGCCATCAGTGGGATGATTCTCCCCATGTTGTTTCCAGAAAAATGCTCAGGTATTATCTGTTGCTTTTTGTTGCCATAAATAAGTTAGGCCGGTTCTCGGAGCAGTTCTCTGTTCAAAGAGATACAGAGCCGAGTCTGGGCTTCTGATTTCTACAGATAAATGCCACACATTCATTTACTTTGAACTATTTTCCCTCCCCCTCACTGTCCCTGTCTACTTGTTGTATCTGTATTTCCCCCCCCCCCCCCCCTCACTACAACCCTCCACCCAACCCCACACACCCCTTTCCGACATGTCTCTGAATCCCTCCATCCTGGCCTCTCGGCTCTTGTGAACAACTGGCCCCGGACAGCTGGCTCTTAACAGCTGCTTGCCATCTCGGTTTTTGGCCCATCTCCATCTGGGCAAACTTCTTCCACAGCATGGTCCCTCTGTAAGCCGCCCTCTCTGTTTCTAAATCAGTCTCTGTGCTGTCTTCGTGCCATTCAGCAAAAAGTAAGTTACGTCCTCTAAAAGGAGCTGTCCTTTTGCGTTTGGATTCTGCCAGTGAACGTGAACAAAATGGTTATTTTCTGCATCTGTCATCAGCGTTTTCTTTTGCTGTGACACCAGCATTCATGTCTGTAACAGCCTGGTCTGATAATGTGCAGTAACCTCTTCCCCGATTGTAACCCCTGACATTTAGTGGAGGGAGATATTCCCCGAGGAACGGCAATAAAGTTTAGTGAGGTAATGCACCAACAGTCTGAACTTTTTTTTTTTTTGCCAGAGCTGGAAAAAGAGGATTTTCTTGGTGGACCTTTCTGAAAAGCTTAACCTGTTTGATTTACCGTAACCATCACTTTACATGGCCTCAAACTGGAGAACCCAAATCCCCCGCTGACTCCGGTGACCTCGGCTGCTGCTGCTGATGTGCAGTTGTTGGTATTGTAACTCATCCTGCCTCGCTACGAGCCGTATCCCCTGCTTTTCTTTTCTTTTTTTCTCCTCTTCGGGGGCGGCACAGGGGTTAATCTGACCGGGAGTCAGTTGCCTGCCACCGGAGACAGGACTGCACACTTGCCGTCCATAATTCAAACTGTTGCACTGCGCTCTTTGATGTTGAGCGAGGGATGGAGACGCCGTCGGCTCTCGTGGACCCCGTGGCACCAGCGTGCCTAATCTCCGTCTGTCTCTTGTAGAGACCTCATCCTGCCACACAGTATGGATTTGTGTCTTCTGGTGGTGACAGGCGGCCGGCCAGATCCACAGAAGATTTCTGAGAGAGAGGGAGAGAGATATTGTCCACGCTCTGAGGAGACAAAGCCTCTCCCTATCTGGTCTGTCAGGGACAAGGATTTAGATCAGTGTGTGATACATATTCAGCTTTCAGTGGGGATGAAACCCAACCCGGGATTCAAATTTCAACGTTTGTCTTTTCGTGGGAGGACAGTCTAAGTAATCTGTGAGAAAGTCCTTTGGAGACAGGCTCTTGGGTGTTTAAGTCCATATTTAAACCTGCAATAACCTTTTGGGCCACACGGGGGCAGCGGAAAGAAGTTGTGAACACAACAATGACACCTTTTAAGTTAATATGAAAAGCTGTTGTTTGTTTTTGGGCAGGTGGTGAATGTAAGTTCAATGTTTAGTCTCTTTAAGCTTTGTGTTTTTATATCAACCATCTCCTGAGGGAAATAGAGTGCTGCAGGAATGAGACTCAAACCCTGGAAGTGAGTCAGCATTGTTGCACTTCTGCTTCCCTCGTTTGTATGTTTTCTTGGATGTGTTTTTGGTTGAATGCCTGAGATAGTCTGTGGTTAACACAAGCTTCATGATATAAAATGCGTCCGTAAATACCACTCTTGTGAATTTTGAAGCTTTTACACGTGTTAAAAATGGCAGTTGCTAACAAGTGGCTAAATGTGACTAAACGCGAACTGTCCGCAAAATCACAAAAGTGTTCATTTGTGAACATTATCTTGCTGTACCAAACTTGTTTGTATCATGGCCGTTTGTTTGCCACGGGGCTTATTCTACTTGTAGCTTGTGAACCAGCCCCTGACATGTGACTGTAGTCTTAGAAGCTCACCTAACATTGTGTTAAAGAAAAACACTTCCTTTTACAGAAACATGCAACCTGTAAATGTTTTAAGTTATGATACAATACATCCAGTTCGATGACCACTAAACTGAAGTTTAATTTCATGAGAAATTAGATATCATAACTCAAAATGTTATGGTATTGCAATTCCAATTCAGCGCAGCTCGTCCTGTTTTGAATTAAATCCTTCAGTTGTTAAATGAAGGACAAACAAGCAGCGTTCAGGTGGAGATGCCAAGCAGTAAATACGAAAGCAAGTGGAAAAGAGTAGTGTGCCCTTGCATGTTGAGTTTCATCAAAGTAACCATGGAGGTGGAGAGGACAAATAAAAGAATGACTAACAGAAAAAATATGATTTCACATTGTCTGTAAACTGCAAACAGTTTTTTTTCTGACTCACCAGATGACTTTCTAAAGTTGTTTTGACGGCTGATGCTGGATATATCTACCAACTTCCTCCATTACACACGGACTCGCACATGCATAGGGTGTCATTCAGGGGAAATCCAGCATGCAGGCTCCAGCTGC